TACATGAAAATCAGGCTAAAAATGAAAAGGATAAAAAGCACTGACAGGGTAAAAAGTTGATTAATTAAATGTAATCTTTTTTCATCCAATTTATTTCCGATTCACTTGATCAATCGTGCTCCTACAAAATATCAAAGAGATTTTTCTCGAAGTTAATACGTTAACATTTAATATTAACATATAAAAGCGATGAACTAAATATAAAAAAAAAATATAAGTAATGAAAAAATAGTAGTGAATAGGTGAATAGTGGGGCCTTAGGGCAGCTGCAGAAGCAGAGAAAAAGCTACATTAAGCAGTGTTTTCTGACGTGATTGGTAGGTGAATTCTTCATCCTATCAACTGCGCGTGAGAATAACATTATCCATTTTTTATTAATTATTGTTAGCTATTTATTTTTTTCACTTTATTATTTCCAATATTTTATTTTACTTTATTATCGACGCACACTATTGCTGGAGACAAAAAGTGATGTTTGGTGCCTCACACAAATCGATATCATCTTTCATTTATGATCAAAATAAATAAATAAAAGGATTTTTTTCGAAAAAAAAACATTTAAGAGATATAGGATATGATTATTTAAATGTTTTTAGAAAGAAATTAATGGTATGATGATTAGTTATAAATTAAAGTTTGTAAATTAAAAGCGAGATTATAGCCACAGCATTGCCAATGTGAAGCTAAGAATGCAGCTGTATAAAGCACAGAAAAAACTACGATTGTCTTTTGAGTCTCATGTTATTATTAATTTCGTTGTACTAAATAAATAATTTCAGAGACAATCATTGACACAGTGTAATTGATTTATTATTACAATAGGATTCAAAGTCAATCAAATTATCCTTATTTTTATGGAAGAGTTATGCTTGAGGTGTTAGATTACGAAAGAAATACATAATTAATGAGTAATGATTATTTTAATAGAATAATATCAACTTTAACCGTATTTGAATTAGTTAATGAGAAATTCTTCATCCATGGCAGATGAAGCCGTAAAGGTTTGTTTAATATTATACTAAGAAATTGCATCACTGTAACATGAAAATGTTTCCTAAAATGGTCCTTAAATTGTCTGTATTCTGCAAAATCTGAATTAGAATGCAAAATCTGTATTAGAATACTTAGTGATTTCTAATTGGTTTGATTTATTATATGTGGGTATATAACTCTTCATTTTTTAAAATACCTCATAACTCTTTTTTTTTTATGGAGTACTAAATATCTATCTAAAACCCCTACTAATAATGTTAGATTTGAGTACATGGGCATACATCAATCTCCCAACAATGCATTTCTTGAATTTTCAAATTTTCTTTTCGGCATTGATTGAGATTGAACTTGTCTCATTTAGTAATTGGAGTACCATGTACTTTAGAATCCTACATGCCAAACCTTTTAAGCACTTTTTCGACATAATTTATTTGTGATAATCCTATAATATCTCGAGATCGATCTTGTTGTATCTAAATTCCTAATACAAATGAGATGTTACCAAGATCTTTCATTTTTTAGATAAAAATTTATTGGTTTTGTGTAGTATGTCATATTGTTGGTATTAAACAATATGTCATCTACATAAAAGACTAGGGAGATATACCTGTATCGAATGAATTTGTGACACACAAACATCAACAACATTCACCTCAAAACCAAATGAGATAGTTACTTGATAAAATTTGTGGTACCATCAACAAGATGCCTATTTTAGCCTATCAATGGATTTTGTTAGTTTACAAACCATATTCTTTGGGTCTCCTGACATAGAGTTTTATGATTGCACCATATAAATTATCTTGTCAATATTGCCATTGAGAAACATCATCTTAACATCCATTTGATGAATTTTTAAATCACAGTGTGCAATAAGAGCCATTGATCTAAAAGAGTCTATCGATGAAACTAGAGAGAATATATCTTTAAAACGAATCTCTTCCTTTTGAGTATAACCCTTCACCACAAGACAAACCTTATACCTTTTTCACATTATCTTTGAAATCCTTTTTGGTCATAAATATTCACTTACAACCAATGAGTTTCACACCTTCGGTAATGGGACAAGTTCTCAAACCTTATTGTCTTGCATGGACTTATACTTCTCATTCATTGTTTCAATCAACTTTTCTGAATTAGGATCTTGCATGGCTTAACAGACGGTGACATGGTCATCTTTCATCATACCATTATTCTTCTCATTTTCTTGGAGAAATATCACACAATCATTTGGAATGACACTTCACCTTTCTCTCATGGATCTACACAAATATTCTGACTCATGAAATACATGTTCTCAAGGATCTTGAGTTTATTCTTATAAAGGTTCAAAACTTAGAAGTATTGATCTTGTTTCATCAAAAGCAATTATATGAATCGGATATGGAATCGTGGTTAATTCTTCTTAAAGAAAAAGTCTCTAACCTTATTAGTCATCTCAAACTCAATATCCTATATAGTAATATTTGTTTCAAAAATATTATTTAATTTGGATCATAGATCTCATAATCTGGATCTTTCAAAATAAACAATTGTTCACTATTCTAATGTCTAATCAATATATATATATATATATATATATATATATATATATATATATATATTAGTTAAAAAAATGTTAATTATATTAATTTTTAATTGGATTGTATTACAGTTGATCATACACATAATAAGGTAAAATTCTAATTATGTTAAAATTTTATTTGAATTGAATTTATTAATAAAATAAATAAATGATGTAATGATCAGTTTAGAAAAAAGATGATCCAAACTGCTTTACGATTTCATTGAATCAAAGATGCTGAATAAAATTTATGATTTTAAGATTTAAATATCAATTTTATTATGACACAATTAGTCTTTTGTTTTAACTCTATGAAAAAAAATGACCAATTATATCATTTTCAAGATTAATTTCTCAACTATCACCTTTTATCATTTACTGTTGTAATTTGGTTTTTGAGGAGAAGCAACGAACTGATCTCAGAAAATAAAATAAAATTATAATACCACCTTCTCTAAATTCAACCAACAATACCAAACCTACTTGCATTTAAATATAAAAGAAAACTAATCATGTCTTTATATTTTGTATCATCAACTAATTTATCAGACATTTATTAAGATAACATGTTGTCATCAGAGTTGGCAATTCTTTTAAACTTGTCATACTAATTTTTTTAGAACTTGAAAGCGGAACTTTCATTAGCTTATATTGTAGTTATTTAAAATTTTAATATTATTTTTTTTAATTAAAGTACTCAGATATGTGTAGTTATGAAACACCAAACTACTTCTTGCCTAGGACCCAACACAATTGTTGCATGATGGAATTGGACAATTGATATGGTCTATTTTTTGTAATAACATTTCTAAAGTTATTTTATTAAAACAACATTTAAATTTGAAGCTTTTATCTGTTGTAACTTTTTTTTTAAAAAAAATACTAGAAATTTCTAATAAATAATATTTTTTTGTTCTAACTTGCCAAGAAGCCATACACCAGACACAAATAAACATCATTAACTTGTAATAAAGATTAAATAAGTTTTTTTATTCTTAATATATTGATTGTCTATTCTAAAATATGTATCTATTTCCTTCATATATTTTGTTAAAAGAAGTTAAAATATTAATGATAACAAATAATAATTAACAACGTTAGAGTCTCCTCTTTGCAACATTTTGTCTCCCTTGTGTATTTCTTCTCATATTTCGCTTTTTCTTCTTATTCATAAAGTTTTAGAACATATCCAAAAGAAAAATCGAAAAAATCAAGAGAGGCATCTAATTGTTAGGAGCCTGGACATTGTGAGGGGAAAGTAAGAATAGGGTTTTGCTGTGCACCATCATATCATTCAATCATGTATACTCACTCATACACAAAACCTTTATCAACTTCATAAGCTTTTATAGGATTGTATAAAAAATAAGTTTAAACTAATTTACAGTGCAAGAAAAGAGATTGGATAGCAGAGAATATTGAACATGAAGCGTAGAAAGTGGCCTTATTCAGGAGTCCAAGGAGTATTGTGACCATCAAGTGAAATTAAAGTAGATTCGTGGCAGCATAAATACGACTATGTAAAAAGTATTACAAGCCTTGTAAAATATTACACATAACAGGAGTGACTTTAAATTATCTGCACTTAGTGGACACATATGGATGCTATGCTATCTCATGACATAACACACCAAGACTCAGAATAAGCAGCGAATACCCTGCATGCATAAAGGAAGATAAGATAAACAAAATAAAGAAGATATAACAAAGTAACTATAGCATATTAAATAGTATCATTCATAAGTCAACTTAAGAACAACCTGTTTCATCAATGCACCTAAAAAGAAGATATAACAACGAGATTTCGTGACACGAAAACCTGACATCTCACAAACCAAAATAAAAAGAAACAAATCATATTTAGAAGTCACATCAAAGCTAATACTTAGAAGTTCAATAGTCAAAACATGAACAAGAACCAGAGACTCAAAGCAAGACATTGAGAAACACAACAACGGATCTATGAAAATAAAGCAAATGCAAAGAATACTTCAGAGCTTATACAAAGCTCCAAACTCATACAGCCAAACAAAATCCGAAGTTATAGTCGCTAACTAAGTAAACAAGTCAGTTTCTAAATGAAGTAATAGCAGAATAATCTGCAACCAAACAAAAATATCCCAACCGTCTGTAAATGTTAAAACCAAGGCAAACTGTTCAATGGGAGAATTAATGGTACCAATGCTGAAGGCAGCTTGTACAGATGGAACGATGGAAACAGTATCTCAAAACATATTGTGGGCTAGCAATGAAACAAAACCAAAACAGTATGGTGGTCAACAAACAGATGCTGTTGACATATTCAGTAACCATTTGCCACAGCCAATAGAAAGCTAGGAGATATCAGGCTCAACCAACCACCAAATTGCTAGAATCTCTTTTGCAAGTTGCCTAATTAGAATAGAATATAAACAATTATAAAAAAGAAGTGAATAAAATGAATTAACCCTAAATTCTACTAATGCACACGAATTAGTTTTCACAAATAGGATTATATAAGATCAAACATGAAACAAATAGACAATATACCAAAATTTTATAAAAAAATTCAATACATTAATACAGTACCAGACATGTTCAAGCAGGATATTTTGTAATTTTGAGGGTGACAACAGTGTTGTGAAAAGTAAAAACAGTCAAAAGGTGGAATTGTTTCAAAATCTGATATGAACTAATTCAAAAAAAGAATTGAGGGCATAATTAATACATCACAATAGCTTTCGCCAGCCTTAGCAAAACCTTACCATGGATCTTCGTGTGGAAGAAAAGATAAAACATGGTTGGCAGAAGGACACAGTCCATAAAAAAATAGTCAATTCTTACACACCAAGTAAAATCATTAACAATAACTGTTATGCTTATAATCATATTAACAAAAACCCAATTACATTACCAATATTCTCCAAAACTTAATGATGACATTTGAAATACTATATCCCATAAACTACACTTAAACCCAGAAAAAAGGGCAACGTCGGCTTGCAATTCCACTACAAGCAACTAATCAGACTCATGATATAACAGACCAACAAAGTAAATTTTAATTTTTTTTCATGGCCACGTGTCACCGTTATTCTTTTGTAAAATAAAAAGACAATCATGGAATATTTCAAGACATGAAAATGAAAGAACCATATAACAGTGGAGCTTTCTGTCATTCTATCCCCATCCAAAACTTTATTCAAATTCACAGTACATTACAACAACAAAAACCACCGAATAAAAGGAGTAACCAAATCATCAAAAAAGATAAAAAGAAGCAGAATTATAAATCCAGAAACTATTCTGAAAGTCGAGAAACCATTACATAGTTAAAAACTTTTATCGTCTCAACTAATTTTCACGCAACATATACTTCAGTATTATTAAACTTTTTTTTTCAATAAACTGAATAACTCGACTATATGTTATGTAAAGATTAGTGAAGCCACGAACTCCGATTATGAACGACCGAGATTATATAATAATTTCTCCTCAATAGTCAGGTCAGACTTTATTTTTAGCAACTAAAAAAGAAGTTAAAAGCTTATCGATAAAATTAGCATATTCTAACATAAAAGCAAATTACATATGTGTGCAACTAATAATCAAGGTAAATATTAAGATGGATGAAACTGAGGAGAAAAAAGAAACTAACCTTTTCATGAAGAAGAGTGTTGACCCTCGCACGCGGGGCTATCATCGAAATTCTTCGATGGATACTTCGCCGTGACCATGCCGACCTCGAAGACGATATCGTCGCCGGAGGAGCGGATTCCGGTGATCGACCACCACTTGAAGAGCGCTCGAACCCTAATTCCGTCAAGTTCCGCGATTTTCCCCTGCACGATTTTTCCGGAGATGGTGTCGGAGTAGGTGGCAACGTAGTTGTCCGGCGGGAGCGTGATTTTGCACGCGCCACCGAGCTTGACGGTAAACTCCCCGGTGGTCCGGTTCACGGCGTATCCCAGGACGGTGGTGGCGGGAAGAAGACCGGAGGGTAAACCGTAGCTGACGAGCTCCACGTGAGCCCGCGAAAGCGTTGATTTTGGCGTTTTAGGGTTAGGTTTTTGGAACGAATTGGCCACGAGATTAAGAAGCAGAGCAAGCACGAACAGGACCTTGGGATTCATCATCGCGTTTCCGTTTCAAAAAAATTTCAAAATTTTATTTTCCTCTAGTCTTCTATATGTAAAAATGAAACAGATATTTTTATTTTTATATTATTTTTATTCGTCAATTTTGATATCTGTCACGATAATGACGAGACTCTGGATATGAGGATTTTTATCGCGAGAATCAATGCAAGGATCTTTCAACACGTACGGAAAAAACGACTTCCACTTTTGACTTTTGGGTTCACAGAATTGGGCCTAGACTGAATTTGATATCGAGGCCCAGCTTATGAAATGAGCCCGGCCCAAACATGTGCTAATATCAATTTCTAATTTCGAACACGCATTAATCCTCCTATTATGTTTACAAAATACATTAATTTTGATGTTTTAAGATATATTTTTTTTAATAAATCAACATCAATGTATTTTGAAGGTTTAACATATGACAACACACAAAAAATCAACAAAAAAAAAACTTGAACTCGATGAGTGAAAAGGATAATAATTCACCAAAACCCAAAAGTATTTCTTCCATATACTTTTTAAAAATTGTATATTTTTAAACATTTTTAATTCTATTTTATATTTTTGGTAGATTAAAAGCCTGTAAATAATAGTATGAACATTTTTCAACGCTAAGAGACTTCATTTTGACCTAATTTTACTACTTGTAATTCCATCAAACCTAATTTAGAATGTAAAGATATGAACAAATCTAATGAAGGTGA